TCTCGCTGGGCCTGGGGGAGGGGCGTCCGGCCCCCTGGAACTCGCTTGGGAGGGCGGGGGGCGCCCGGGGGCTCGGGGCTTGCCGAGCAGACGGGCCCGCGCAGCAAGACCCCGTCTCTGCCAAATATTTGTGCCCCCCCTCAAGTTTTCATGCTTGCTTTCTCTGTCTCTCCCTGTGTCTCTCTGTCTCTGTCTCTGTCTCTGTCTCTGTCACTCTCTCTCTGTCTCTCTGTCTCTGTCTCTCTCTATCTCTGTTGCTCTGTCTGTCTCTATGTCTCTGTGTCTCTGTCTGTCTCTGTTTCTCTCTCTGTCTCTCTGTGTCTCTCTCCTTTCTGTCTCTCTCTATCTGTCTCTGTTTCTCTCTGTCTCTCAGTCTATCTCTGTCTCTCTGTCTCTCTCTCAGTGTCTCTCTGTCTCTGTCTCTCTGTGTCTCTCTCGTTTCTGTCTCTACCTGTCTCTGTTTCTCTCTGTCTCTGTCTCTCTCAGTCTATCTCTGTCTCTGTCTCTCTCTCAGTGTCTCTCTGTCTCTCTGTGTCTCTCTCCTTTCTGTCTCTATCTGTCTCTGTTTCTCTCTGTCTCTCTCAGTCTATCTCTGTCTCTCTCTCAGTGTCTCTCTGTCTCTGTCTCTCTGTCTCTCTGTGTCTCTCTCCTTTCTGTCTCTATCTGTCTCTGTTTCTCTCTGTCTCTCTCAGTCTATCTGTCTCTCTGTCTCTCAGTGTCTCTCTGTCTCTGTCTCTCTGTCCATCTCTGTCTCTGTTTCTCTCTGTCTCTATCTCTCTGTCTCTCTGTCTCTGTCTCTCTCTCTCAGTGTCTCTCTATTTCTGTCTCTCTCTGTCTCTATCTCTGTGTCTCTTTCTCAGTCTCTCTGTCTCTGTCTCTCTCCCTCTCTCAGTCTCTGTCTCCCTCTGTCTCTCTTTATTTCTGTTTCGATCTCTCTCTCTCTCTATCTCTCTGTCTCTCTGCCGCTCTGTCAGTCTCTCTCTCTGTCTCTGTCTCTGACTCTCTCTGTCTCTGTCTCTGTCTCACTCCCTGTCTCTCTCTGTCTCTCTCTCAGTCTCTCTCTGTCTATCTCTGTCTCTGTGTCTCTGTCTCTGTCTATCTCTCTGTCTCTCTCAGTCTCTCCATGTCTCTCTGTCTCTGTCTGGCTCCTCTTTAAGATTTTCGTAGAGGTGGGGTCTGGCTAGGCTGCCCCGGCGGGTCTCGAACTCACGGCCTCGCACCAGCACGTCCAGCTCCTTTTTTAGTTTTTTTTTTTTTTTTAAAGAAATGGGGGTTTGCTAGG